AAATGATAAAGTAGTTATGTTCATCAATTGAATTGGTTTATAGTGTTCTATATCTACATTCAACGACATTTGTAACAGACTGTTTACACTTACATTTACAGAACCACTGGAGAACCAAGGAGCACTGGGCACTGAGTCTCATCCTTGTTTGGGACTCTTCATTAGTAGGCACCCACCAGGGCTGTGACCTAGAATCTTCTGATTACTCTGTGTTTGAATGAGCACAGTTCCATGAGCAAGTCTTCCACGTTCGGGGCTATGAGCCAGACTTATTGTAGGCGCACTGATGATACTACTCAGTTCCCCATATAGGTTGAAGTAGGCTGAGCGGGATTCGAATCCGGAAATCACTAGATGAAAGTTGGGTCGTTAGACCAATAAGTCACGTCTCCATTACTCTATGAGCTAAAACTATGATGCCAAAAACCAGCATAGTTAAGAGAAGAACGGAAGGATTACAGATATCTATTTTTCATCGAATCATTACACAATACCTAAACCAAAAGTCGTTTTTGGTGTATTCTGAAGGCTTTCATTAACTTCTTCTATTTCAGAGTCAAAGAAGATAAAGTAATGAAGCAGTCGAAATGGAGTAGTGAGACTTCTGTGTAGTAAGGCATACGATAAACATACTACTCTCTATATAGTGTTTTTTTAAAATATTACGTCACAGAGAGGTTGATTAAAAATGTTGAAAAAGAAGGCAAATAATACCAAAAGCGGTCATGTTCACTTCATTGATTATGAAAACTGATATGCTACATTCTAAAATCTACATTTGACCCAAAATAATAATTTAATAAGTTCTGGTCGAGATATAAGAGGATCTGTAAATTTAGTGCTGAATAAATTCAGATGATGTGAAAACTCGTTTAACGCAAACCAACTCATTCATGTGCCGATAAGTCGAACCCTACTATGCAGTTGATATGTTATTCATAAACACAACAAAGGAGATACTGTCAGCAACAGGCAGAGATAAGAATTTCGTCCTCACCTTATCAAAATCTATATATCACATTACATGTGTTTTTGGAAGCAAGTATATTGAAGGCATGGAAAGATGTCTTTCAGCTGGCATCGCTCAACACTGTCCCAAATGGCTTTCTAGTACTCATGATAGCATCCCTAAGGAGCTCAGTCACACGACATTTATTAGGCTGTGACTATACAGTGACGTTGAATCAAAGCTTTGAAGTTATTTCAGGATTTTGTTATGTGGTCACATCAGTTAGAGAACCATTGGAAAGTCTGAGAGTACTAGACAGCTGTTTCGTCTTCATTTTAGGATCTTCACTGGTACTCACTCACCGGGGTTATTGATAAGTAAGTTAATAAAAAGACGGCTGGTTTTTTTCTGTAGCCTGTACAATCACATCAAAGAAGCTTAATCTATGCCATACAAAAGGAGACAGCAGTTAGCTTAAATCTACCTTAGTAACATACTTTTATTTTGTCCTTATAATTTTCCTTCCCTCACCTCCCCTTCCTCTTCTATGTACAATGTTTTATCCACTTTTACCAATATTTATCTGACATACTGTTAGTTCTCCTAGAGTATGTGCAAGTCGGAAATCATAGTTGAGTATCAATCACTCTTGGTGAGGAGTGTTCAAACTATCGTTTATACATTTAGATTATACGGGTTACGTTCTAGCTATTTGGTCCTGAGAAAATATGACTCTTAATACATTTAATCCTACTCCAAACGTAATATGGTGGAAATGTGTGGATGACACTTTCACACAGTGTTAAAAACAGAACATATTTCTAACTTCTTGACGCACAAAAAACTCACTAGAGTAGAGGGAATAAAATTCATATTTGAAGCGGAAAATTAACAAGGAGAATTAACTGTGATGTTAGAGTGTAAAATAAAACGAATAGAAGAAGGTAGACTGAACGCTAGCGTTTATAAAAAATCAACGCATTCTGCTAATAGATATTTAGATTTAAATTCGTCTCATCCGTTAACTCCTAAAGCAGGCTTAGTTAAGTGTTCAACAAACCGAGCAGTGGCACTAAGTAGCACAAGAAAAGACCTAAATGATGAACTAAAACAGATAGAAGAGGTTTTGGTGTTAAATAACTATCGAATTGAATTTTTGATTTTCCCGTCGATTGATTGGACCGAAGTGCTCGGTCTCAGAGGTTGACATGTCGGCTTATTGTGCAGATACTTCGACGACGATGTCTGGGCATTTAATTAGTATACAATTGGTGGATGCTGGCTAGCAGTGGAATCCAGGATGGGCATTTCGTCCTATTTGGGACTCGCCGACATGTCAACCTGAGACCGAGCACTTCGGTTCAATCAATCGACGGGAAAATCAAAAATTCAATCCAATAATTAATATGACACGTTCCACAAGAGGTGGCTCTCGTGGCCCAAGTGGTCTAGTGGATAACGCTTTGGCGTTTGAAACTGTGGGCACTGGGTTCAAGCCTCAGTGGGAACATCACCACTCACTGAGGAATGCAGGTACATCCAGTTAGCTGACGAGTCCCAATTAGGACGAAATGCGCATCCTGAATTCCACTGCTAACCACCATCCATCAATTGTATATTAAATAACTATCCTTTAATATTCATTTGGAATATCGAAAAAGGCCAAAGAACAATTAAAAATAATTGTGGAACTAGTAATGTTAACATAAATAAGAGAAAATATAAATCATCTACAGTCATACCATTTAAAGAGGGGACATCTGAGACACTACGTAGGATTCTAAATAAAGCAAGAATTAGGGTGGTATTTAAACCTACAAACTCACTCAGGAACAAGCTGTGTAGGCTAGAGGACCCAGTTGACCTAATTAGACAAAATAATATAATTTACAAAATACCCTGCAATGACTGTGAGTTAGGTCAACTATATAGGTCAAACTAGTAGGTCAGGCGTAGTCAGATTATCAGAACGTAAGAATTTAGCTAAGGTAAGAATGGCTGATCCCCAGAAGATAAGTAACTTAGAAAAAAGCTCAGCTCTGCATTGCATTGGATGCATTAACACACAACCACACAATAGGTTGGTGGGAGAAGGTTGAAATTCTAAAAAGTTGATTACTGAATCCTTGTTCATCGAGTCTACACCCAACACATGCAATAGGAATGATTCATCACTCATACCTGAAATATGGAAAATACTATTACCAATCAAATCAAGAGAAAAACAGTGGAACTATATAAATGAAGTTAGGAAGTCGTGTGAATACCTTGATATGATGATGAGCAGTAATAAATTGTGGTCGAAACGTCATCAATTAAACATTACTGTATAACAACACTGTGAGACTTTATCAGAAGAAAATTTATGCATAATGGAATCACACTCTACTACAGTGCACAAGTTTCATTCTTATATTTGGTCCTATATGATTTACATATATGTCAAATTTATTTATTTAGTTCTTACGAAATATTTTATGTCTTTCACTGTTATCCGATCCAGATGCTTATAATTGCATTAATTCAACTTCAATAAATCCAGTTCATATGTCAACGTGTGTTTTGATGAATATATTATTCACTTAATGTCGACCTTGACAGATTATCACTCACAACTCATCCGTCGTGTATTTATTCATACTAATACATATTTGTTTGTCACAATATTTGCGTGTTTCCGTGTGTTTAAACCTCAGAAAAAAGTGTATCAATCATGGTGTTTTTTGGAGTATTCAGCTGTGGAGGAGTTCAACTAAGGTTTATGAATTCATTAAACAATTTTTATTCTCCACAGTTGTTGCTTGTTTTACATAAATTATCTGTCTAGACAAAATAATTGACAGAAAGTATATAATGATGACCAAGAATTAATCTCTGCGTTACGTCACCAAAATACGACAACAAGTCAGTTAGCTTCTGTCTGTATGTTTCCAAGCAGTCGATGTGATATAATACTGGATAAAATATTGTGTTCAAAACGCCATCTAGTTAATAGTACTGTTTCACTGGATGACATATCCGATTAACAATATCGTAACAGGATTTCATCATGAGCTGACATTGGTTAGAGAACCATTGGAGTACTGGATAGCTGTTTCCACCTTCCTAGTTTGAAACTCTTCAGCAGTACGCACCCGCCGGAGTTCGAACCTAGGTCCTTCTGGTTACAAAGCGAGATAGCTCGCAGAGCATTGAGCCACTGAGACCCGATGCAATGATTCTTGAATTATAACTTCTGCGCAACTGCTAGCCAATGTCTTCGGCGAGTATTTGTCCTGACACCCGACCTGCTGCATCCTGCTGGTCACGACTTCCTACTGAAACCCCAGGTAACTAACTACCTACCTGAATAGGGCCAATACTTGAATAGCAATATCGTAAATTGACGGAATTTAGGATTGATGATCTGTTGGATTCTGTGGCATTGGCTCAGTGGTATATGATCGCTCTCTGAAACCGGAAGGTTCTGAGTTCGATCCCTAGTGCGTTTATGGGTTTTCTGCAGCCGAAAATTCCTAGAAAAGGATGACAAAGCTGTCTAGCAGTTCCCTCTTTTCATTGATTCTCTATCTGAACTCACCGTGTGATTTCCCTTGAAACCAGTCGCCTACCTTCAAACCAGAAATCAAAAACCAAATCAGTACATGTAATTCCAATGAATATTGAGATAAATATTTCAAAATGGAAACATTTGGTCAGTCGGTTGCCTTCCAGTCATTACATTAACTTGCTAATATAGACAAACTCATTGTTTTTACACGTCTAATGTCTCTGTATCCTCTTTGGCACTCACCTATAAGATATCTATGTGCCATTTCAACATGAACTTAGTTTACTCTATTGGAAAGTTAACAACCAGAGCACTAAACTACACTAAGAGGTTGTCAGGTGACAGTCAGTGCAGGTATTCAATCCTAAGCGCATTCGTCACTTTCCATCTATCCGTCAGTGTAAATTCACTCAGTCTAATGATCACAATGTATCCTTTATCAAAAGATATCAGTCAATAGAGCATAACAATAACTACTTATCTTATTTATTTCTGTTACAGGTGTTCCACTGTGTGATATATGGACAGTTATGGATGTTCTCTGTTGTACAGCGTCTATTCTACATCTTGTAGCTATTGCAATTGATCGTTATTGGGCTATAACCCAAGTTGATTATGTAAGAGGTCAAAATAAAAAACCAATATACATTATGATAATAATTGTCTGGATATTATCCTTAGCTATTTCATTGCCAACACGTTTCCATACATCAAGAAATGCTGATTTATACAATGATGTTCTATACGCAGGTGAATGTAACATAAACAAGGAATACGTTTTTACAATATTCTCAACAGTTGTCGCCTTTTATATGCCAATGACATTTTTAATCGGTGTTTATGCTAAAATTTATCAAGCCGCTAGAGAAAGAATTAGAAAGAAACGATTTCGATCACCGTCTTCAATAATAACAACAACAACAGCAATAGGAACAGGAACACTGTCAGCAGCTGCCTCGTCAGTGGCTAAAACAACAACACTACCAATCACTACAAAATCAACACCATTAATTGCTTTATCAAAACGATTAAGTAATTTCAATAGGCGTAGAATACAAAAGCCACATCATCATGATGACCTTGACAGACAATATCAAAGAATTAATTCAAAATATTCACTAACTAGGTGTACAACGTGTTCAATATGCCTAAATACTCACTTATTAACTTGTGCGTTAAAAAAAATATCTGTTGATAATATTCAATCACAAACAAGTAATGAATACTTAGAAGTTGGCTCAATATTCTCTGAAAATGAAACATCATCACCATATTTTAGCGAGTGTACAAATGAATTTTCTGATAAATTCAATGTGACCGCCAACTGTTATCATACACATAAACAAAATGGTATTAAATTTTTAAATATGAATAATCATGGTGTGATTAAAATGAATAGTGTAGATAAACAAAATCCTTTTGTTCAATGTTCCAATACACTATTGAAACAATTCACTACAGCAGATAATCATATAAATTGTATACAAGAAAATTATCATTGTAATTATGCAAATTTTTCACGAAATAATTCCACATCAGTTAAACATAATTTAGAAAGTGTGAATAAAGGAAGCGAAATAAAGGAGAGAAATGTTTCTTGTACAAAGATATCGACTCGGAGAGAAGTTCAATTAACTTCTAGCACTTCAGCATCTGCATCATCATCATCATCATCAAGTGATATTAATGTGAATAATATCACTGAAACCGAATGTAAGACGCCAGGGAATTCCGCTAACTGTCTCAGTGTTGGCATACAAGACGAGAAAGGTTCAATCAACAACGATACACAACTAATCCCCATAAATTCAACAATCGACCATAAACCAAATCAAAGTGAGTTCCTCCAAGATAATTTGAAATCAGGCGAATTCGATGAAGAGATTAATACACCTCAAGTTGAATTAGAATTTACTTTAAACGAATTGAAAAAATCATTCGTTCCAAGCCCATTGCTGCTAGAATTAGATGATATATCAAATCATTTAACTTATTTACAGAATCCTGTACATTATGTGAGTAAATATTCAATTTATCCAACAAACTGTGATGGTGATGATGATGACAATGATGAAAGTGATGACAGTCCAGGCAACTGGATCAATAAATCAGAAAGTATCAATACTAAACGATATACCTATCCAATTTCACCTCATCTTTCTTCACTTGATAGTTTACTCAGTGCAAATCATTTATATTGTCCTTCAGTTTATGAACACTCCTCATTACTTCATATAAAATCGCCTTATTATTACGATGATTTACCACAAAACTTATGTACGCTTAACTCTGGAAATTTAAAAAAACCGCCAAACACTAACATAAATAAAGATGATGATGGTGATAATAAAAGTGATCCTTTAAAACGAACTAATAATAATTCTCCATTAAAACCGCCTAATCAAACCTGTGAATTAGTTCAAACAATAGATATTAATAATAGTAAGCAAAATATAACAATGAATATGAAAAAGAACACAGTGAAGAAGAATATTTCAGTTACAGTAGAAGAAGATACTAAGAAAGAAGTTAAAAAAGACGAAAAACTATTAACTGTGACTACTACTAATACTACTAACACTGATATCAGTAGTACAGTCAATACCACGGAGAATTCCAGTACTACACCTAGTAATAAATCCAATTTATCACCTGAAAAAAAAGTGAATATAACCAGTCAACATCTGCCTCCAATATCATCGTCAAAAACGGTTGCCCATAAAAATATCAATGAAGCTGAATTACAACGTGAACGAATAGAGAATAGTCGTGAGCGTAAAGCTGCACGTACACTGGCAATTATAACAGGTTGTTTTATCCTATGTTGGTTACCATTCTTTTTACACGCATTGATTGCACCATTTTGTTTCCCACATTGTAATATACACCGATTAGCTGCAAGTTTTCTTCTCTGGTTAGGTTATTTAAATTCACTATTAAATCCTATCCTGTATACTGTATTTGCACCAGATTTTAGAAATGCTTTCAGAAAGATTATTTGTGGTAAATTTTACACGAATAGAAAACGATAAATTATATATATATATATATATATATATATATATATATATATATATAATGTTATATTTTTTCACAGAATGCTTATTTATATACCGAATATTATTACTATTATTATTATTGCTACTATTATTCTCTATAATAGCTTCCATTTATGTATCAATAACCCATTGAACAGAGGTTTTTTCTTGTTTATATTCAATATATATATATTCGCAAACCAAAATCGCGGGTGAATTAATACTCACATTTAAATTAGTAAAACGTTTCAGTTTTTCTAATTTTAATAATCTGATGACAAAAAGAAATAAAAGAAATTATTGAATAAAAATATTTATAAAATATTTGTTTTATCACCTGAGGTGTTTGAATAAAGCAATAACAAAAGTTTCTGTAGAATAAAGTGGGAACATCACATCGTTTATCTCATCGCCTTCTCATCGCCTTCTCATCAGCTGCTTACAGGCTAAAGTCACTATTAAATAAATCTATAGAAAACAACTTTAACATACTTGCAAAGAGTTCATTTTCAGACAAAATCAATCAATATATGCATACAGTAATAATATATACATATATATGTAATACTAAACACTATTCTGAACAGTAATGATGTAACACAATGGAAACTTTCAGCATTACCTAATCAGGTGAAAGAGAAATGAAAATATTCAGTTACCAAAGGAAAGAATGACTCATAACTATTTCTTTCTGAACGCACAAATCTGCAAGATCAGTTACATTGGAAGAACAGAAAGAAGAAGGGCATATTTTACGTCTTTTTGAACATGTATCAAAAAGCTTATGTCTAAAGGGGACAAATACTTTTAAAAGTGCCATCACCAGGCATCTCCTTGACACGGGTGGTCATGACATGGACGTCGTAAGATCCTTCAAAATTATCACTAGGCTAAAGGGTGTTTAATTCTCTTCAAGTTTGCTGAAGTCAACTCCATCAAGCACCTGAAGCCTGATTTGTGAGTTCACAAAGAAACAGTTATCAGTCTTTCTTTGCCCATCCTGGTAACTGGATATTTTCATCGCTATTTCATCTGAATATGTAATATCGATAGCTTCCATTGTGTATGATCATTATTGTTCGGAATAGCGTTTAATATTATATATATATATATATATATATATATATTTACTGTATGCGTATACTGATTGATTTTGTTTAAAAATGGACTCTGTGCAATTATGTTAAAAGTGTTTCTTTTTACGAGTTGATCACGGATTGATATCAGTTAGACAACCATTGGGAAATCGGCAGGGAGTACTGGACAGCTGTTTGATCCTAGTTCGGAAATCATCGGCAGTATGCACCCACTGGGATTCGAACCTAAGACCTTCCGGTTACAAGGGAAGCTCGTATACCATTCAGCCAATGAGACGAATTGGTAGAAGTTAGAATTCATGAGCCATTGAATCGAGTCCCAGTGGCTGAATGGTATAGGAGCCAGCTTGCCTTGTAACCGGGAGGTCCCGGGTTCGAATCCCAGTGAATGCGTACTTCCGATGATTCCCAAACTAGGATGAAACAGCAGCTGTCCAGTACTCCCAGCTGGTTTCCCAATGGTTATCTAACTGATATCAATCCGTGATCAACTCGTAAAATAAACATATCTAACATTTATAAAGTTATATTTGTAAAACCTCAGCGAAATTGAAATGATTAATTCCAACGTTTCGTTCGGCAATCTGGTCCGAACTTCTTCAGGGAAATTAATCGAAATTAACATAACAAAGGTTTATATATAAAAGGGACACCTCTTTTTTTTTAAAAAATTTTGTCCAATCATGAGTCATGCAACAGGTATCAACATGTATAATAAATAAATAAATAAATAGAATTGTATGTTTATATATAAAAGTACATCTCTTGTTCTTAAATATGAATCAAGAAACAGCTATCAATGGGTATACTAAACAAAACAAAACAAAAATTGTATGAACTATGATCAGAAAAATTTTTGACCTCAGACTTTCAAAATTTGTCTACTTTCGTTAAAATATATGTGTATATGCAGTATATGCAGGATATAGTGGTGTTTGTGTATGTGTGTGTAGGTGAACAGTCATAAAACATTTGCTATTCCCATATGAGGTGTAATCAAGATTTGACCGGATAGTTACAAAATATACAATTAGTGGATGGTGGCTAGCAGAAGAATTCAGGATGCGCATTTCGTCCTATTTGGGACTCGTCAGCTGGATGTACCTGCATTTCTCAGTGAGTGATGATGTTCCCACCAAGGCTCGAACCCAGTGCCCACAGTTTCAAACGCCAAAGCGTTATCCACTAGACCACTTGGGCCACGAGAGCCACCTCTTGTGGAACGTGTCATATTAATTATTGAATTGAGATTTTTACTGATATAATTTAGTTTTTATAAATTTGTTATTCTCTCCATAAGAAGACGTAGACAATCGGGAATTTGACCAAGTGTGACTACTTGTTCATACATATCAAATTTTATTTATTAGTCAGGATTTGCCATGCACCAGCTAACATCACACTTTCACGTCTGTTTAAACTGTTGGGATTCACTCATATATGTAGGGCTTCTGCAGCCAGTCTTTCTTGATATGAACCAAAACCTTTCTGTAAAACCTTAGTCTTATCAGAGTCGATTTTGTGTCCCGTTGCTATCGAATGCAGTGCAATCGCTGAGTTGTTTTTTAGCATCTTCAAGTCTGCAGAGGTCTTTGGAACCACCTTTAGACACTTTTTATGCTCTTTCGCTCTTATATTTACCTATCTAGAAGTTTCCCCTACATATACTGCGTTACAATCCCCACAATTGATGTGGTGTACGCAATTTTGATGGTTTTCTTGTTCTATTTTACCCTTAACCTTCACCAGTAATGAGCGTAAGGTGTTAGACGCACGAAAGTACACTGTGGTGATTGAAAATTTCTATCTCTGTATTGTTTAAATACTTACTGTTGCTTGTCAATATATTTCTTATATTAATTGATATATAATTCCTCCAAATAAAAATTCCAGAATTCATCCCTCTTTGTGTCTTGGTTGAATTCTTGTAATTCGGTCATCTCGAAATACTAATACTACTATTACAAAAAATTGCAATATACACTCTTATGTTATGTTCGTTAAGGATTCGCTTTATTTCATCGGATGTTTCTTTGCGGTAAGGAACCACCGCTGTACTAACCCACTTCTTAGCAGCAGGTTTCGATTCCTCCTTATCTTCACATTTTGAATAACATTTTTATGAAGGCTTTAGGAAAATTATTTGATTTAAGAGTGGATTGAACTAATTTTAGTTCCTTGCTAATATCTTCCTCCTCAGTAACTAGACGTTTGGATCTTTTGATCAGATTCTTGGCCACAGCTGCTTTAGTGGTAATTGGGTGAGCTGAATAGTAATCTAGGTATCTATCCGAATTTGTCGGCTTTCTGAAAATGTTTATTTTAAATTTACTGTCTAATTTTCTTTTTACCAAGCAGTCCAGGAACGCCAACTCAGTCTCATCGGATTCAACCCCTTTGGAGTACTTGATGGTTTCTGATATATTGTTTATTAACTGAAAAAGTTTATTTAACAAACTACGTTTGATTATGATGAAGGTATCATCTACGTATCTTAACTACATCTTTGGGGGACTAGGGCATCTCATAATTGCATTTGTTTCTAATGAGTGCATAAACAGATTGCCGACTAGCGGAGATACTTGTGATCCCATAGCAATGCCTCCTGTTTGACGATAAAGAACCCCTCTGAACGTAAATAACGTGGATCGAAGACACAATTCTAATACCTTCATAATTTCGTCGGGATTTAAAGGACAACGTTCACTGATTTCGCCGTCAGCACAAAGTAAATTATAAATAATACTTAAAGGATCATTAACGGGTACATTCGTGAATAATGAATAAACATCGAAACTTGCCATTATTTCATCTTCTTCAATATTAGTCAAATTTATTTTCCTCTTAAATTCATACGAATTCTTCACTCTATGCTCCACTTTCATTTCGTATGGGCTAAGAATTCGATAAATGTATTTTGAGAATTTGTATGTTGGAGAGTTAGTAAAATCCACTACTGGACGTAATGGTACTTCTGGTTTGTGTATTTTTGGTAACCCATAAAATCTACAGGGGCTGCAACTGTTTGGAGCCAGAGTAAACCAAAGTGATACACCGAGCTTTTCTTTTATTGACTGTATCATTTTACTTGTTTAAGCCTTCAGCTTATTTAATGTCACTCTTGATTTATTCACGTTGAATTTTTCATAAGGTCCATCATTAAGATGATCAATGGCCTTCTTTTCGTAATCTGCAGAGATCATGACAACCGTGATATTGCCTTTATCTGTTCTTGTAATGACAATTGATTTATCTTGTTGTAGGTGTCTTAATGCCATTTGCTCGTTTTTATTTATATATATTATGTTATTTTGCAACTATCCGGTCAAATCTTGATCACAGTTTATATGAAACATGTCTAACCCTTACAAACCAAACTATAGAAAATTGTTTCTGTATATTTATTTAGCAGTGACTTTAGCCTGTAAGCAGCCGATGAGAAGGTGACGAAATAAACGATGTGATGGTCCCACTTTATTCTTCAGAAACTTTAGTTCTTGCTTTATTCAAATTCATTAAAGGTGGGGGGAATAAATTTATGAAACCCGAAGTGTGCTAGTAGAAGTTGTTTACAGCAATACTGTTGGTTGAAATGTGCATAAGTCAGTTGAAAAATTCCTTACTCATCAACAGAGGAAATTTAAAATGATTAAAGCCCTTGACTGATTGTGTGAGGCTTGGTGAAACTATTAATTTACCCAGACTGAAACAAAATGGAGTGAGACTGGACACTGGAACCCACTACAGGCTAGAAGCTCAATGCTTAAGGTGATGAGTTACATCACCAGAAAATAGAGTCATTGTTATTATTTACTTGATTGAATATATACGGTGTATAATAACCAAAACCCACATGTTATGCTCTGGACATGGGAAGCCAATGTATGCGTGCTTTAA